TTCAAAAATTTCTACATGTACAGTTCAGTTACGTCGATTACGTTCTTCCAGTTGTGCTGCTATTCTCACTTTAGATGAAGGTTTACAGAACAAAATAGTTTCTCATTAAACAGTTAGTATACATATTGCCCTATGACAATGGTTAAGAACCCCACTACATGTCAACACTGTCCTTACTCAAACATGGGTTCCCTATCACCAGCTTTCTTGTCCCCTTCTGGCTTCTAGTCCTTGTCCCTGGACTGCTGTGCCTCATTAGTCTCATTTTGTTTTGTGGGGCTGCCCAATCCCAGGTGAACGGTGAACCGTGGGAGTGGCTTCATCACTGAGCTAAAAGGGTGTCCAGGGGCCATACTCTCGGGGTTTCTCCAGTCTGTCAGGCTAGTAAATCTGGTCTTTTTTTGTGTGTTAGAATTTTGTGCTACATCCTTCTCCAGCTTTGTCCAGAACCCTCTGTTGTGATCCCGGTCAGAGCAGTCAGTGGTGGTAGCCAGGCACCATCTAGTACTGGACTCAGTTTGGTGGAGGCCTTGGTAGCTGTGATCCATTAGTCCTTTGGACTGATCTTTTCCTTGTATCCTATTCTCTTCATTCTCCCTTGCTCCTAAAGAGGTGAGACCAGTGGAGTATCTTAGATGGCTGCTCACAGTCATTTAAGACCCCAGACACTACTCACCAAGGTAGAATGTAGAGAAATGTCTTTATAAACTGTGTTATGCCAACTGAGCTAGATGTTCCCTGAGACCATGGTCCCCACAGCCCTCCACCCAGCAATTCAGTCCCTCAGGGAGTTTGCATGTATCTGTGGAGCTTCCATGACCTTTCCTTGTACAAGTTGTGCTGGCTTCCCCAGTATTGTGTACTGTGTTACCGTTCACCAAAGTTACCACTTATCTATTGGGATTTTTGAATTTTTGAATTTTATGCTAGTGGTAAAACTAACCTCTTTTTTTTCTAGAGGAAGAACAAGAAGTATGTTTGATCATTTGATCCATAAGCTTATCGTTTAACTTAAATCAATACTTCTGTTGTTTGTTTTATGTTTCCGATACTTACTTGAGAATATGTACATTTCTTGGTTTTTCATTTTTTACTTTTCATTTTCTCTTACTGGGAAAGTTTTTACCATATATGCTATAGCAACTCATCGCCTTCCCAATAATTTCAACCATCCAAATACAGACAAAAAACCAAACCTGTTGCCATCGAGTTGATTCTGACTCGTAAATACAGACAAAAGCCAGGTAGTTTTTTTTTTGTTTTTTTAATGGCAGGGGTGGGGGGTGGTCATGGCTTCTAAGTAGCAAAATGGATGCTACCACATCTAAAGCTTTTCCCATAGGACATCCCTCAGTCTCTCGCACGAAACCTGTTTAATTTTGCTTAAGGCAAATCTCTAACAAGCCAGATTACATGGTTTTCATGCCCACAGCAGGTTAGAAGCAGTAATGTTAAAGGGGGCAAATAGAAGTCAGTACAAGGCAGTGAAGAGGAATCACAACTCCACAAGCACTGTACCTTTGGCTGCTTTGAGGGGCGTGTGCTGCCCACATCTCCAGCCCCAGGTGGCTATTGCAGTAATCACTGATATTTGTAGTGTTGACCCTGACTTGTTAGGAAGAGGTTTACAATGTCCAGTGAGCCCTACGAGTGAGAGAGACAGTCAGGATACATCTTAGAAAAATAGGTATGTCTTTATCTTTTTACCCACAACTTAGCTTTGTCTAATCTTAACAGGTTGCCATATTTTTTCTTAGTCTGTTTAAAGAAATATTCTAGGTGCATTTGGAGTCCTCTCCTATCTTTGTTTCCCTCCTATGAGTTGTATTATCTTAAAACTGATATCCAGCACATTTTATGGTTATGGTTCATTCGGTTGCTCTTCTGTGAATGTTATAATATGTTCTATGTATAAGTTTATCTTTTAATTACCCCCTTTGCCATGAGACCAGAAGAACTGGATAGTGCCCAGCGACCATTACTGAACGTTTTGATCAAAGATTCTGTAGAAGAATCTCGATCAGAAGAGGGAAAATGTGGAACAGAATTTTAAATTCTCAGGGACTCCAGACTTCCTGGAGCTGTCAAGGCTGGATGAGTCCCTGAAACTGTTGCCCTGTGATAATCTTTAAACCTTAAACCAAAAATATTACTTAAAGTCTTCTTAAAACCAAACAACAGTTTAGCTTAACTAGTAAAAAATATCTGCCTTGAGCATTATGCTATTTTAAGAACTATCTATATGGGATCAGAGTGACAAAAACAACTCGAAAAATTAGTTAGGAACCTTAGGGGGGCAGTGAATTTATGTTAATGGGGGAGGGACAACTCAGAAAAGGAGGGTGAGAATGGCTGCACAACTCGAAGAATGTTACTAGTGTCAAAATGTTACATGTATAAACTGTTGAATTGGTGTATGTTTTGCTGTGTGAATTCTCAACAAAAAACTAAAGAAAATTTTTAAAAAGAAAGTTTATCCTTTGATTATTGATATGTAGGGTTTTTTTTTATATTCTGAACATTAATTCTTTGTCAGATATATGAGTTTCAAATACCTTCTCTCAGTCTATAATTTGTCTTTATAGTGTTTTTGTTATACAGAAGTTTTAAATTTTAATAGAGAAAAGTGTATCAGTCTTTTCTATTATGCCACATGCTTTTGAGTCTTTTAAGAAATTTTTTCCTACCATGAACGTGAGGAGAGGTTCATAGATATTTACTTCTAAAAATTTAGAAGTTTGCTGAAAACTTTATATCTTTAATTCACTTGGATTTATTTTTAGTTATGGTATGAGGTTGTTCCGACACACTGGCTGCAGCAATGGGCTCAAACACAGCAGTGACTGTGGGATGTCGCAGGATCAGGCAGTGTCTTGTTGTGTTGTACGCAGGGTCGCTATGAGTCAGAACCGACTGGATGGCACCTCCCAGCACAACCTAACAACATGAGATATTGTTGTTGTTGTGTGCCGTTGAGTCAGTTTTGACTCGTAGTGACCCTACAGGACAAAGTAGACTGCCGCATAGGGTTTCCTAGGCTTAAATCTTTACGGGAGCAGATCACCAGGTCTTTTCTCCTGCTGAGCGGCTGGTAGGTTCCAACTGCTGTCCTTTTGGTTAGCAGCCAAGCCCTTGACCTCCAAGGTTCCTGTGGTATGAGAGGGAGACCCACTTTTTTTCCATTTGTTGTTGTTAGATGCCATCAAGTCAGTTCTGACTCATAGTGACCCTGTGTACAACAGAAAGAAACACTGCCACGTCCTGCACCATCCTCACGGTCATTATTTTTGAGTCCATTGTTATGGCCACTGTGTCAATCCATCTCGTTGAGGCTCTTCCTCTATTTTGCTGACCCTCTACTTTACCAAGCATGATGTCCTTCTCCAGGGACTGGTACCTCCTGATAACATGTCCAAAGTATGTGAGACAGAGTCTCGCCATCCTTGCTTCTAAGGAGCGTTCTGGTTGTACTTTTTCCAAGACAGATTTATTCATTCTTCTGGCAGTCCATGGTATATTCAGTATTCTTCGTCTACACCACAATTCAAAGGTGTCAATTCTTCTTTGGTCTTCCTTATTCGTTGTCCAGCTTTTGCATGCATATGAGGCAATTGAAAATACCATGGCTTGGGTCAGGCACACATTAGTCCTCAAAGTGACACCTTTGCTTTTTAACACTTAAAAAGATCTTTTGCAGCAGATTTGCCCAATGCAATGCATCATTTGATTTCTTGACCACTGCTTCCATGGGCATTGATTGTGGATCCAAGTAAAATGAAATCGTTGACAACTTCCATCTTTACTCCATTTATCATGATGTTGCTTATTGGTCCAATTTTGAGGATTTTTACCCCATTTAGATACCTCATTATACCATAACCACTTATTGAATGGTCCATTGTTTTCCCATGAGCAGTTGCTACATCACATCTGCCATGTATCAGATTCCACATGTGCTTGGGTCTGTTTCTAAGGTTTCTGCCCATTGGTCTGTTTGTCTGTGTCTGTAGCAATACTATACTGACTTAATTTTGATAGCTAGTAGGGTAGGTTCAAGGAAGCCTGGTGGTGCAATGGTTAGTCTCTCGTCTGCTAACTGACAGGTGGGCAGTTTGATCCCACCAGCCGCTTCACAGGAGAAAGAGTGGTAATCTGCTTCTGTAAAGATTACAACCTAGGAAACCCTATGGGGTAGTCCTACTGTGTCCTATAGGGTCGCCATGAGTCATAATCGACTCAACAGCGGTCGGTAGCAGTGGGTGCAACACTATTGCTTTTTTTTCAGAAGTGACCTGTCTATTCATGACCGTTTGCTTTTCCATATAAGATTTGTCACCAGCCTCTCAAGTTCTGTTTTGTTTTGTTTTTTAATCCTGTTGGGATTTTTATTGAAATTGCATTGCATTTGTGAATTAATTTGGATATACCTAATTTTAAAATAAAAAATATTTGGATGCTTAAAAGAATAAATTCCTAGTTTTTTGTAAAAGTTAATTGTCAAGAACAGCTAATTCTCCAAGGGTTTTGAATATTCAAGGTCTTATTATGTCTAGATAAAAAAGTTAACCATCAAAAATGTTCATTCATATATTGGGGGTGATTCAGAAAATTAAATATTTAAACATTTTTAGTTCTTCATTGTGCTTGCTAAGTTTTTTCATTCATCAAATATTTATTGAGTACTTGTTTCATGTAAGGCCTTCTGCTACAGAATATATCAGGGTTTTGAAAATCCCCAACAGCCAGTGATAGGGAAGTTCATAGCTGATATTTTGAGTGCATTATATATGGTATAATTCACACTTCTTAGTTGTACCTCAGTTGATGTTGGAGGAAAACGTTCCCGATGGTGGCTCGCTGGCATATGAAAGATAGCCTATGCTTTTAAAATTTGCTTAAAAAAATCCCCCTAGCATTCACAGATAATGGAATGTTGGCTCCATTCTGTGTGGTCAGGCTGGAGTAGTTATTTGCTGAAATCCCTTGTTGTTCTTCCCTAGAGACTTACAGCCAGCACAGGAAGCAGACAGCGTAGTCGGCTCTCTGTTATGGCCCAGTACCTCTGCAGTGTTCAACACCTCTTTACAATTCCAGGTCAAGCATTCATCCCCAAACCAGAGGTGAGTTTTTGCTTATGGGTTTTAATAGACCAAAATTAGGTTTTTAATTGTAATCTTTATTTCCCTAAGTATGCCTCATAGAAAATTATCTGTAGAATCTAATCTTTACTTATACGCATACCATACCCTAAAACTTTCTTTACCTCTGCTGACTATGAACCATAAAAAATTACAGTATGAATAGTTCTTGTTCTAATTTTTCCCCCTTTGATGGAGTGACCAAATATCTGTTTGTGTATGTTGTCCTGGTGCTACTATTACTATTATTATTCCCTTTTATTCTTAAAATTGTCGCACTATGGAAGACAAGTTATACCTTTGGGAAAAGAAATCAATTTTCTTATGTGTGATTTCTGATAGAGATGTCTAACTAAAGTTACATCAAACATTATCTGTTTATCTTGAATTCTTTCCCCCCACTTTTTTGAGAGACCATATTTTGGCATTATTTGTGATAAATCATGTGTGGAAAAATAGTTGGATATTAACATAGGCTTTGACTATATTATGCTAATTACCAAAGGGTGAGTGCTAATTACAGAAACAGTTTCTCTGCTAAAAATAAAAAAGCAGTGTCCATTTTAGCAAAACTACTGCTTGATGAGTTACTATAAAACATGGATTATAAAAACTCATTAATTTCTCTGTTAGATGTGTATAGAGCACCTACTGTCTGAAAAGCCCAGGGCTAGGGGCACAGGGATACAGAAATTTTGAGGAATAGAAATTTCTCATTGGTTGCTAGAACTCTCAAATATAAAGACTTGCAGAGTTTCTCTTACATCATTTGACCTTCATTTAAAAAAAAAAAGTTGATAGTGTGAAATATTTATATTGAATTGTGCCAGAAAATATGCACAGCACTTTTATTCTTTTTTTTTCTTTTTAAATGAATTTCCTGTTATTTTTTGCCCATCTTGCATGAGCTTAAGTTGATTATAATTTAGTGGTACTTTCTTGACAATGTCAGTGTAAAAGGTAGAGTCAAGAACAACACTTAGATGAAGTAGAAGAAATTTGAAGTTTAATTAAAATAATGCAAGTTATTAAGGTAATTCAAGTGGTGTACAGGCTACATACTGGTTTATAGATTTAGAATGAGGGCCCGATCAGCACTGTTAGAGCTACATGTATGTCTTGAAGCATGGTCTGGTCTGCCTCCGTGTTCTTTGCTGCCACCTTGCCACTTTCTCTGCCACAATTTCCGGTGAGTGCAGGCGTTCAGTCCATCCTCCACTTCTACAATAGGCTCAGTTGTCAGCGTTTTCTAAATCAAGCTGAGGGAACGCACTATCAAGTTCCACTTCCTTTCAGTATCTCAAGGTTTCAGAGACGTAGATGACTTCTTCTGAGACAGTTAGATCCTAGACATTTGATGGCTGGAAAGATCTTCTAGGGCATCATCAAATTTAACACACTTGTGCCTTCAGTGACTTTCCATCTTAGAGTGGGTGGTCATTGTCATGAAGAAAACCACGTGGCCATATAGCTTGCTTTCTTCCTGTAACTTATGTGTGTGAATATAACATTTGGCATAGTGTAAGACCCAATTATATCAGCAACCATGATCTTTACTTACAGGCTCTTATAATCGTGGCCGTTGCCATGACTCGGACTCGACTCGATGACAATAGGTTTTTCTGTTTGTTTGTTTTGTTTTGATTGTTTTCGTTACCATCATACAATCTTCAGGCTATCTAAATTTTACCAAGGCTTTCTTAGAGTAGATGTTAGAATATTTTTAGCGGGAAGTTTCTCTTTTAGTTGCTTAGTTGAGAGTATTTGATGGTGCTTAGAGGTTAGTTTATTTTTTAGAGGTTATTATCAACTTTATCTTTTATTTAGAGGAAAGTGCACACATAGTTAATTAAAATTTTTTTTCTGCAGGTATTAAGGCCTCATGAAAATATTTATTTTGAAAAAAAGCTAGCTATGCCTTTGGTTCTCTTTTTTATTCATTCAAGGATATTTGTTTTTTGGCAAATAAAACTTATTCATAGCAATTTTCTTTGCATGCTTTTCACCACATTGTAAATAACACCTGTTTAAGGGCAGTTGGTTTATTTGTAATACAGGACAGCAGTTAAGGAGGAGAGAGAATGTATTATGATTAAGGAAAATGATAAATCAAATGATTACATTTCAGTTCTAAAGGAATTTTGCTATTCTCTGCTGCTCTAAAGTATTTCTACCATAGTAGAGCAGATTAGGAATACTCTGAGGAAAGCTAGAAATATTTTGACTGATAGTTACACTAAGCAAATGTTTTAAAAATTCATTTTCTTTAGTAAGAATGGGAGGAGTTTTTGCAAAGATGATACAAATAACAGTACAAGATTGTCCCTCTGGCTGAATCCTTCTGAGTGCAAGAAGAGAGCCTTATAGACACAGATACCTACAATACAAAGTCAGATATGCCAAGTGCTGCAACAGACGGGTAGGCAGATTCCTGGGGGAATTGAGAGAGGGAGATTACTTTTCTATAGATGAGGAGAAGGAATTTACTAAAATTCAATACTTATTCAAAACTCCAAGAATCAGATATGGAGAGTTTCTTTTGTGATTTGGTAAGAAGGGCTTATTTATAACCACCTTCAGAATTTTCTTACTAGAAATCTGTCGTCCCTTCTGTTTATGGGTCATTTGATAAACTGACTTAGTCAAGCTTTATCAGCTGAACTCTTACTTCCGTGGGCCTGTTACAGTCCTGTTCTGACCCATAGAACTAGGCCACATCCTTCACTCCCCAAACTTGGAACCCCAAATTCTTTGCTATCTATGGAAAAGACAAGGAGCCCTGGTGGCACAGTGGTTAAAGTGCTTGGTTGCTAACTAAAAGGTTGGCAGTTACAGCCTCTTGGTTTCATAAAATAAATTTTGTGTTTTCACTTCACTGTTGAGTTAATAAAATTATTTCTCCAGTTATAAGACAGAAGTCCTCTTTTGCAGTGCAAATTCATAATGAAAAAGTGTTTCTATGAGGGAATAAACTTTTGTTTCTTACATTTCTCAAGCTAGCAGCTGTAGGCCTCTGAAAATCCACATATTTCTTGGGCTCCACAATAATTTTTTTTTTTTTCCCCAGCTAGTCTACACATTACTCAAGTTTGAGAAATCTTGAGTTTATTAGATGTGAAAAAACCAACCCACTGCTGTTGAGTCAATTCTGACTCATAGCGACCCAGTAGGACAGAGTAGAATTGCCCATAGGGTTTCCAAGGCTGTGTATCTTTATGGAAGCAGACTGCCACATCTTTCTCCCTCGGAGTGGCTGGTGGGTTCGAACTGCCGACTTTTCAGTTAGCAGCCGAGCACTTAACCACTGCACCACCAGGGCTCCCTAGATATTCCTTCAAAATTGTTTTATCTTTTATAACTGGTAGCCATGGGCCCCTTAATCTAACATTCCTCCCAAAGAACAGACAGGCTTTTGGTCTGACTACCATTCTGTACTCTGATCGAGTAGAAAAAATCACTCAATCTGAGAATTGTAACAACAGATTTGTGTTTGTAATCTACAGGGCTCTTAATTTATACTGCCAGAGGCAGTACACTTGGTAAAAAAAAAGCATGGACTGTGAAGTAAGCTAGACCAGTTGGAATTCTAGCACTCATAGTGATGAAACCTTGATAAGATTAATAAGGCACGGTTTTAACACATCCCAAATTGGGGCAGTGAAACCATCTTTGAAGGATTGTTACGAGGAATAGAAATAATCTATGTGAAGTGTCGAACACACGGAGGCAGTCAGTGAAAGGTGGTTATTATTATCATTACAGACACATATTTATGGACTGAGTTGTTATATCCTGACACAGTAGTGTGGATTGTAACTTCTAAGACGTACACAATTAACATCTAATTTTGCCTACTTAGAAATATGGCGTATGGAACAATTTATAAACACAGTACAGATTTAAAGCATACATAGTGTCGGTAAAATTTTAGATAAAGTAATGATGACACACACCCATGGTGTGTTATTAAGAAAAGCTGGGGACTTGGGACAGCCACACCTAATGTTTGAGGGACAGCATTTGAGAGGTTTCCAACCCTACTTGCCCACAGCTCCTGAGGCCTCGGCCTCTGTCTAAAATGTTCTTGAGCTTTTGGAATGGGGTCTGCGTCCCAAACAGCCATGTTTTTCATGCCTTTGTGTTTTTTGAAACTTGATATTGAGGATGTTATTTCTGTTGTATACCACCCTACCTAGTTGCCGTCGAGTTGATTCTGATTCATATTGACCCTGTAGGACAGGGTAGAACTGCCTTGTAGGGTTTCCAAGAAGCAGCTGGTGGATTTGAACTACAGCCTTTTGGTTAGCAGCCAAGCTCTTAACCACTATGCCACCAGGGCTCCATTGTATACTACCCTGTATTTGAGAATCCTTGGGACAGAAGGTCAGAAGACTAATTTTTTCCTATGTAACTAATATTCTTCTATGCTAGGCGGGGTTTCCTAGAATCAGAGATTGCGAAGGATTTTTGTGAAAGTGATGGATTGGGGAGCACTTCAGGAGAAGGAGAGTGAGGGAGGCAAGACAGAGCAGGGGAAGAAAGCTGAGCAAGGGTGTTGTTCCACCTGGAGACTGGCTTCAGCCTGGTCCCAAGGGAGAAGGGAAGGAGGAGGAAAGGGGAGCTCTGGAGCACAAATGGCCCCACAGAGCAGTCCTACCTGGAGGCAGGAGGCTGGCCTGTGTTAGTCTGTCTCATGTTGGTCCGTCTTTGGCTGCTGGCTGCCTCCTGGAGAGCGGTGGGGCACAACCTCCCAGTAAGGCAGCTCCAAGTGTGTGAGCTGAGGCAGCTCCAGGTCTAGGAGGCAAGGCAGCTCCAGGTGTGAGCCGAGACACCTCCAGGTGTGTGAGCTGAGGCAACTCCAGGTCTGTGAGCGGAGGAAGTTCCAGGTGTGTGAGCCATTAGCACCCAACACACAGGAGCTGGGGGCTGGCTGCACTGGCCCAGTGGGAGTTGGTCAAAGCACCAACAGCATCTTTGAATTATTGTGTTGGCAAAGAATATTGAATATACTATAGAATGACAAAAGAAGGAACAAATCTGTCTTGGAAGAAGTACAGCCAGAATGCTCCTTAGAAATGAGGATGATGAGACATCGGCTCACATACTTTGGACATTTTATCAGGAGGGATCAGTCCCTGGAGAAGGACATCGAGCTTGGTGGAGGGTCAGCAAAAAAGAGGAAGACCTTCAACGAGATGGATTGACAAAGTGGCTGCAACAGTGGGCTGAAGCATAACAGCAATCATGTTATGGATGGAGCCGGACCAGGCAGTGTTTTGTTCTGTGGTACATGGGGTTGCTATGAGTCAGAACCGACTCAATGGCATCTAACAACAACATATTCCATGATAAATATGTATACATATGGGTTTGTTCTATAGGTGAAATGAACAACCTATTCTGCTTTGTGTGCATGTGTCCTTTTGATTTTTGTTTTGGTAACTTTTTAATCAAAGAGAAATGAATGTTTACTTATATTCACGTAGATTAGACCAGGATTTCTTAACCTCAGCACTTTTGACATTTTTGTGGGGACTGCCCTGTGCATTGTAGGATATTTAGCAGCATTCCTGGCCTCTACCCACTAGATGCCAGTAGCACCCAGCACCCCTAGTCATGACAACCAAAAACATCTCCAGACATTGCCCGCAGCTGAAATCCACTGGATCAGACTGAGAACTGTTAGACAGCACTCATTACATATTTACCCCACACTGCCTGCTTTGTGTATTACCTCATTCATTCCTCCCAGCAGCTGTGAGTAGGTGCTATTTTTATCCTCATTTTCACATGAGCAAAGCTTAGAGGGATTAAGAAATGTATGTCAGCTTTACCAATGACCAGGAGTGGATTATCCAATAGGCACAGTAAGCACAGTGCTTACCTTGCTTACCAGATCATCTGTAGTGAACAGTTTCACATTTTTTCACATCAAAGACTTTGCTTCTAGGTATGGCTGGCATCTTTCTCTCTTGCAACCCCACAGCACCTTCCTACAGAATCAAAGCCTCTTTTCAAATTTACAATCCTTGACAGGGATGGATGACGCAGTAAGCAAGGTAAGCACGGGCTCACTTGTGCTTACTTACTAATTTGTGAACAGTTTCACTAGAGATGATCTGGTAAGCAAGGTGTATATCTTGGATAATCCACCCATTAACAGTGACACAGGCCAGGACTGGCACCCAGCTGGTTTGACTGTGGAGCCAGGTGTCCTCAGGTTGAATCCTACCTGACTTAGCTGTGTGACCTGGGCAAGTTAGGTAACTTACTTACCCCCTCTCTCTGCCTCAATTCCCTGTAAGCCCCAAGAACAGTACCCACCTCCTAGCAGTTGTTATGAGGTTTAAATGAGTTGGTTCACCCGGAGGATGGCAGTCAGAACTGGTGTCATCCTAAGTACTTGCAGTGACAAGTCGTTGAGAATACAAAGGTGAGATAGAGATCTGTTTGCCAGCCCAGTTGAAGACTATGTAAACCAAAAATTTTGTTAAGTAGAGCATTCTCTTCGGGCAGGTGGGGTTGAGCTCACAAAGGAGGTGCCGTTGAATGCAGTAGGGTGAATCCAGGTAGGGATGGAGGGACCTCATACCTTTTCATCATGCGGTTTCCGGTCTGGGTAGTATTATGCCATTATTTTGTAGGAAACAGCTGCTTTTCTGAGAATTTAAAACATTCCTGTATCTATTTAGGAAGAAAATATTCTAGTACTAAATAAAAATTATTTTTTGTAGTATAGAATACTGTCCTCAGCACATATAATGTGAACTTTAAATATAGGACTATTGGATACACAGACTGCATATAAATCCCATCACACTAAGAAAGTGAGAGAACCTTATAAATGTCAAAGCAATCCTATCACATTAATATTATTTTCATCAGGGTTCATTTTAATGAGACATTTGTTTAGGAAATAATATTTTGGCCACTCAAAAAGAATTCATACCTTAAACGGTCATTTAAACGTCTGTTTAAATGATTCCCTGCCTAGTTTCCATATGCGATAATACCATCTCATTTCAGCTATTCCCATTAATAGCTAATGGAATTGTTGCAGAAGAGAATAATATTTACCAAGTGAAATTGGTATGAAATATTTTGATCTCAACTCTATACACAAATGAAAATTATTTACTCACATAAAACATATTTGTCCCACTTCTAGAATTTATTAATGTACAAAGCACTGGTCTTTTTTTTTCCCCCTTTACCATTGTATTGTGAACAATGACTTAGCTTAAATTGGTAAATAAATTATTAGAAACAGAAGTGTGCAATGTTTCCTTTGCACATTAGAAAAGCCGGTTTTTATTTTCTTGTTTAAATATTTAAGTTAACATATTTTAAGATAGTTTAACTTATATTTTTCAAAGCACTCTTTATACTTTTAAAATGATTTTCACATCCATTATTAACTAAATCAAGCAGTTGATCTGTAAGAGAACAACAATGTCCTTGTTAACTTGAATCAAATTTGAGAAAACAATGACAATTTAAGTGTAAAATTTGTTATCCAAATGCTAATGAATTGAGAGATTAAATGAGATGGGGAGAAATCCAAAATATTGTAGGAGGAATGAACTTAGTCTGCAGAATCCTTTTGCTAGAAGAAGAGGGGTTTCTTGGGCATTGTCATCAAACCTGTATTATCTTCACTTAGCTGTACTTCATGCTTTCAGAGTCCTAGAGATTTTAGTTTATGTTTGGTTTGCTTTTCCTTTGCTGTGGTAGCATTTGCCCATTTCTTTTCCTTTTCCATTTCTACCTAATCTTAGTTTGAATATAATATTGTTGACTCTTGCAAATGTGTGTGGTCATTTTTTTAAGATGAAAGAGAGACAGGCAGGTCACAGTAGGTGAGGACTTGGGGTGGATGGTTTTGGCAACATCTGAGTGGGGTAGACAGCTCCTAATGTACTGTCATACAATGTGACCTTAAAACAAAAACCAGTTACTATAGTCTTATGGAATGAATTGTGTCCCCCCAAAATATGTGTAAACTTGGCTGGGCCATGATTCTCAGTGTTCTGGCAGTTATGTAATGATGTAATTTGGCAGTTATGTAATGATGTAGTCATCCTGCCTGATGTAAGTGACCTCCATTTTGTGGTATTGTATAATTATCCTCCATTTTGTGTTGTAAATCTTAAACCTCTGTACATTAATGAGGCAGGATTAATGTGGAGTGTGTCTTGAGTCACACCCTTACTAAAGTCACATGCTTGAGTCAGACCTTTTATCTCACAAGAGATAAAAGGAGAAAGAAGTGAGAAGAGAGGAGAGGGACCTCAGTACCATGAAGAAAGAAGAGCTGGGAGCGGAGCATGTCCTTTGGACCTGGGGCCTCTGCACTGAGAACCTCCTAGGCCCAGGAGAAGATTGATGCCAAGACACGTGGAGATCTCCAAGGAACGCTGGGCCCTCAGATGTTGAAAGGAGATAAGGACCTTCCCCCAGAGCCAACGTAGAGAGAAAGCCTTCCCCTAGAGCTGGCGCCCTGAATTTGGACTTCTAGTCTGCTAAACCGTGAGATAATAAATTCCTGTTTGTTAAAGTCACCTACTTGTGATATTTCTGTTACAGCAGCACTAGATGACTAAGACATACAGTGTTTGCCAACCTGATAGCAAACACAAATGCTATTCTTGATTAACACTAGGGCAAGGTACTTTTGATACTTGGCAGTTTAGTCCTTTTATAAAGTCCGATTAAGTACCAGTTTGGAAGATGTATCAATAGATTATCTTTTTTTAAAAAGGCCATTAATTAATTACCTTACTAACAATTATAAACCTTTAAAGTAAACAAAACATGAAAACCGTAATGGAAAAATAAAGAAATCTTAAGACATATAATTGTACATGATAGTTTTGTTAGCATTTTAAACTACTTTGTGGTTTTTAAAGTATTTTACACTCTGTAGAGAGAGTTAAGCATAATTTTTATTTATTTATTTATTTTTCATCTAAAGTAAATATAAAAAATGACAGCAGGCACCACAAAGCTTTATTCAGTATGTAGTAGGTCGTTATTTACACATAATCCTTCAGGTTATATGCTGAATTATTCTCTAGCAGTGTGGTGGAGATATTGTTCTGCTGCCTGGGTGGGTAGAGCCAAGTTTGTGGGCTCTTTTGTACACAGGAAGTGCAGAAAATCATGCTAGAGATAACCAGCAGCACTGCCGAAATGAATCCCACGTAGACAGCTCCTCCTGGCTCGTGTTTGTTGCTGGCAGGCACTGTCAGGTCCAGGAAGTCGGCTATGATCTCCTTGGTGTACCACACCGTGGGTATCAGGCCAGAGACCCCCGCTGACAGGAAGCAGACGCCGCCAGCAACAGAAGCGTGACCTCTGGTTTTTATATCCCCGCCCAAGCGAGTGCATGTCATCCCCACTGTGGAAGCGCAGATCCCGAGAGCCGACAGGATGCATGCCAGAACCATGGTGGCCCGGGCTGCGTGCACGTGGGTGGGTAGCAACAGGATGGAGTACTTGAGGGTGCAGCTGAACATGCCAGTGCTGTACCACGTGCAGTCCATCCACAGCCCCTGCAGCTGCACCACGGCGGTGATGATGCTGGAGCCCTCATCCACACGCACCTTCCAGTTGGGCAGCAGAGTGGCGGTGAGCACCCCAGAGACTCCGGATAAGGCCATGCCGAAAGCAAAGAGCTGGAGCCCTGACGAGGCCATGGTGTGGCCCCAGAAAATCCTGGTGCTTACTTTGGATGGTTCCCAGTCAAAATGCACTGGAGATCAAAGTGACAAAAGGCTGAGGAAAGAAGGCAGAATCAGGACTGAGGGAGAGAAAGAATGAGTGAGCATGGAGGCCTCCATTGGCTGTGGCAGCCGAGAGCACAGGCCTCTGCAGTGCATGAGGGCTCTGCAGGCTGGGAGCACAGCCCCGCCAGGCACTCAGACCCCACACCCTGTCCTTCTGGGGGATTGGGGATGGACCATGTTTGACCCACAGTGCGGAGTAGAGAGCTGCCCACTTTATTCTCTTTAAAACTTAAAGTGTGCCAAAATCATCACTAAACTTGCCATATACCTTGTTTGTTAGGAGATTTAGAAGTGTCAGATTCCGGCTATAGAGTCTGATTAAGAATCTTAAAAATTATTTTGTTTTTAATTAAAGTGCTCTCAACTCAACGGCAACAGGTTTGGTGTTTTGGTTTATAGGTAATTTGGAGCCCTGGTGACACAGTGGTTAAGAACTTGGCTGCCAGCCAAAAGGTCGGCAGTTCGAATCCACCAACCGCTTCTTAGAAACCCTATGGGGCAGTTCTATTGTACCCTATAAGGTCTCTATGAGTCGGAATCAACTCGACGGCAACGGGTTTGGTTTTTTGGTTTTTGTAAGTAATTAGGAAGAATAGTTTCAACCTCCTTCTTTGAAAAATGATTTATAAATGTAAATTAGAAAAGTTTTAAGTATTCAGAAAATGGTTTTAATAAACAGATATTGATTAAGCACCTACCATGTGCCAGGAACGCGACCCAGGCGAATTATTTCAGGAGGAAAGGGGAGGGGTAGAAGTCACTGGGTTGATTTGTCCCTCATTTCCAGTTAATATCCATTTGCCATTCCTGACCGAGGCCGGTACTTGTTTCACTTCAGGTACAAGACTGCCATAATCAGGCCACTGTCTTCTGCTTATGAAACCATGAGATCCTTTCCAGTTGGGGCCAGAATCATTCCCTGACCCAAATGAAATTGTCTACTGCAAATGTGATTACTCTGAAAGATTCAGAGGTAGTGACATCAAATCTTGAAAATATATACAAGAAATAACCGCATAGTTGTCTGTGAAAAGATACCAAAAATAATTTAATGCTTTTCTTTTTTTAAGAGGAAAGAAAAGATAGCACTTACCCTGTGGCTTGGCTGTGTCGTTAAGAAGCAACTCACTTATTCCATCTGGCAACACTTACTGCCTTTTTTGAGAGAAATATAATAGTTTCTGAAGTACTGCAATACTGGGTTTTTTGTAGTTCTGAATTAATTTTTAGATGACCTGCTAGAGTGACTCTATCACGATTCATAGATATTTCATGAAAGGCAGATGGGCTCTGAATCCAAAACGCCTGGGTCAGATCTTGGCTTTACCCAACCCCTCTGTGCCTCAGTATTCACTTCTGTAAGATGAGGAGGATAAAGTCCCTGTGTCACAGGATTAAATAAATCCATACATCTAAGGGCTTCGAACAGTACTAACCCACAGAAAGCACTCAATAAATTATGGTTGACATTATTATTCATATTTTTATTTATTTACTTCATATTATGTGACAGCTGATATTTAATGACATTTGGACTTTTTTCTCTTCCTTAGGCTGATTTAATTTATTTTCATGGACTCTTAGATCTGAAGGAAACCTTTAATGTAATCTTGTACATCATTATTTTTTAGGTTAGGGTGTTCAGATAGTAAATCACCCAGTGTCACACGAGTCTTCAGCAGGACTGTCCAGAGCTTTCTGTCTCTTCCTACCTCACTGCAGCCTGCATCTTTTCTCCTCTGAGCTGGGTGCCTCCTGGTAAATCTTCCCCCTTGTGTGCTTCCCATGGGGAGCCACACAGAGCTGGGGAAACACCACATGTGGAGGCGAACAGCACCATTACTTCACCACTTCTTACTCACCAGGAAAAAAAACAAAAACAAAACCAACAGGCAACTGTGTAAGGTATTAATAGCAAATGGCTTAGCTCAGTTGCCTCACGAAGGAGGTGCTGTCTGGCTTGTGTTAAATATCCAAAGTAATATCAATTCATGCCTGCACTGACAGGACAAACTTTCCATAGTTATAAACACTGATTTTCTAAGAAGTTAGACCCTGGACTATCTGGATTACATTTTTCTACTTCTATTCATAATCTTAAGATTTAAATCCTACAATTTTAGAAAAGGATTTTCCTAGGATTTTAAATATCTTGAGTCAGACGTATCTATAAACATCAGTATGCTTAGGGAATGCCTGCTTTCATACAGTTTCTTTCTTTTCTGTTTTCTAAAATTCTTTTCATGTCTCAAATCAAGATAAATTTTCTAGAAAAATATTAAGCACATATTTACGGTTTCATAATAGCTGTTTTCAGGTTTGGGGTTTGAGCATTTCAGACTCTAGCCAGCTCGCTAAATGACTTCCTTCCCAGATTGTTTTCAGTTTAGGGATTCTTCAAGAGGGGGATTGCTGTTAACATGCCCCAACAACTTCTTTCTTTCTTCCTTCCTTCCTTTTCTTTCTTACTTTCTTTCTCTCCTTCTCTCTCTCTGTCTCTGTTTTTCTTTCTTTGGTTGAGTAATCTTTATATATTGATCAGACTATTCTCAGCTTCCCAGTTGTTACCCTCTTCTTCCCATTAGCCAATATATGTTATAAATTATAGTATAATTCAGACTTTCAGACAGCTTGTTCCTCATAATTAACAATACCAGCAGTGATAAATTATAGACAGCCAAGACTGGGATAAACAACGTGACACTGCGTTTAGTAAGCATAGCACTGACGGTTGACTATTGGGCTTCAAGTGCTTTCTTCTGCGTAGAGTTTAAGCAGAAAGAATTTGTTCTCCGAAATGAAGGTCACTGTTCTGTTCCTTTTGTAAAACTACACTGTCATTTTAGCTGTATTGCTGTGAGATTTTTTTTTTCTCTCCAGCCACAATCATAATACAGTATTGTAACCTGTTCCTTCCAACTTCTATCTCTTAGAGAATAAAGCCTTACTTTGTTTCACTGGTTGTGGTGGTGGTGGTAGAGAAGTACTGAAAGCAAGCAGAAGCAAAGAGGTCTCATGTAAAAACTTAGCTCTAAACAGAGAACTCCTCACGGTTCTTCACGGCACGCAGAACAGAACACGTGAATGTTAAATTTATGAACTACCGGTATTTGCCAACAGAAAGTCTATGCTAGATTTCATTAAAATGCAGAGTCAGAATTTCAGACAAGATTTATTTATATCCAAACTAGTATCTAAAAATAAATTTACAACTTATAATTCAAACTAAGTAATACTTCAGGATCTTACTTCTGTAAGCCTTAGAGAAGCTTCTCTTTTTCCATACCTTTTGTTGGTAGTCTTCAGTCTTAACTCCCTTCTGTCAGTTGTCTCCAAATGAACCCCGATAAGATATGTTGAAGAGAAACCAGATACGTGAGGCTCATTTCAAAGACTCGGAATATTAGTGATAAAACTCCAACAATTTAACTTGCAAATAGCAAATAAAGAACCACATAGAACTCTGAGAGGCAGAAACTGCCGATGGCGCTGAAAGATAAATACCAGGTTCCCCATTTCATTTTTTGAGCTGTGGGAGAATTAAGAAAGGAGAGGCGGGGAAGGGAGGGAGCTGTTGTTACAACAGGATTTGTTGAAACCTGAAAGCTGAAATGCCTTTGTGTCACCATGTAAAGAGGAGGAATTATTTGGGCGCTCACAACATAAATAGGCTTCCTTTACTTTAATGTTATGTTTTAGTCTTATAATTTATTTTTGAGTTTGTATCTGTTATTAGAAAATAGAGTTTATTATTTTATGTCCTCGATTAGATGAAAGAATATGGTCTGGAATATTTTTAACTAGACTGTGCTTTGCAAATGATAGTTGAGACTATCTTTTTTATTCTGCCGCTTGTTGACTTGTCTCAAACCAAGATTCACAAAACTGGTAACTTTACTCTTTTCAAAATAACCATTCAGAAGCCAGTTTTTTTTGTTTTTTTTTTTTTTTTTTAATGTTTTCAATAAAAGAAAGAAAATCAGAAACAACTGTTGACTAGAATCTGGTCAGTAAAACTCTAAGTAGTTTTTGGGGTGCCCTAAATTTCTCCATGGAAAATGTTTTCTGGGGTATAACTTAAGACATTAGAGCCTTCAGAAAATGTCATGAAAGAATAACACCAAAATGACATGATGAAATATATCAGAGCAAACATGACATTGATCTTAAAATTTAGGTTTGTGTGACCTTTTCAGAGCCCTGGTGGTGCAGTGATTAAGAGCTATGGTGAGCGATGGCTGCTAACCAAAAGGTCAGCAGTTCAAATCCACCAGCCACTCCTTGGGAAACCTATGGGACAGTTCTCCTCTGTCCTATGGGGTTGCTATGAGTTGGAATAAACTCGACAGCAGTGGGTTTGGTTTGGTTTTATGACCTATTCAGGATGAAGTTTCTTATAGATACCCACTTTGTACTTTACATTTCCTCTGGTTGTTCAAGACAACTTGTAGTTAGAATAAAAGAAACTTACACAGAATGCTGTTTTTAGTCTGACGCATGGGTTTTTCTAGGGGTTCTTTGAAACACAGTTAAGGTCAAGTAGAGCTGAAATCAAACACTGAGGTTCTAGACCATGAATAATGGTTCAGACATAGCTCACCTCCGGCTAGTTTGAATTCTCATTATTTTCTTCCTCAATAACTTTAACTCTACCCAGTTGCCATCGAGTCAGTTCAACTTTTATTCTCTAAGCTATAAATTCACAGCCACTATGGAGAAAGAAGAAAATTTTATATGATTTGTTTAATTTTACAATTGGCAATAGCCATGTTAGATGTTAACTATTTTGTTAAACGTGGTGAATAATAAAGTACATGTTTCAGTTATCTGGATTTTTCTATATTTTGTTTGTTTGTTGTTAGCTTGTTTTAATCTTTTCTAAGTCTAGCATTTAGCAAGATATGTACCCTTTTATATTGCTACCCTCTGTGAGGACTCTAATGCTTGTGGATTTGCTCTTTAGCTAGAATGTTGTAATTTTGATATATGTTGTTGTTGTTAGGTGCTGTTGAGTCGGTTCTGACTCATAGTGACCCTGTGTACAACAGAACAAAACACTGTCCAGTCCTGCACCATCCTCACGATCATTGTTATGCTTGAGCCCATTGTTGAAGCTATTGTGTCAGTCCATTTCATTGAGGGTTTTCCTCTTTTTCGCTGACGCTCTGTGTTACCAAACATGATGTCCTTCTCCAGGGACTGATCCCTCCTGATAACATGTCCAAAGTATGTGAGATGTAGTCTCACCATCTTTGCTTCTAATGCACATTCTGGCT